TTGCTCTCTCAAGCCGCTCTTTTCATTCATTCCTGTACATATCTATGTTTTACACTCTTTTTTTTTTCAGGACCCGCACGTTTATGCCCAAGCGGGGCAGGTGGCAAGCGACACTCTTGGTACTGCACAGCACAAGCCTAAGAGGGGCGACTTAATGGCACCGCTCAAGCTGGGGAAGGGGCCTCATTCGCATGCGCATTATTACCAAAACCCGGCTGCCTTCGCGATCCGCAGGGCTGCCCACGAGCAACGCACCCAACCTGGGGTGTTTCTTCCCAGAAGCCCTAAAACGACGTTTTTGTGCCACATGGAGCCTTGTCACAAGCTGAACTTCAGCAATCTCATTTCTCGTGAGGGGCTTGGGTGGATGGAATCGCACCTAAATGCAACTTGTTTCCAACCTAGGTCTGAAATGTGGGTTAAAGGCCTGAAAGGTGCAGGGTTCTGCAGAAATCCCCTCTGCGCAGGGGACACGTTCCTCTGCTTGGTGGCGTTGTGTTGCGAACGCTGCTGGACAAGGCTGGAGTGGGCACAGGAGTCGGACAACTGAGTTGGATGGTTGAGCACCCACCAACAGCTCTGTGGGACCAGGCACCACGAGGAACAGACTTCAGGTAGTTCAAGACAACAGACTTTCAGGAAGTGCATTTATTTGTAAAAAAAACTACAGTGCTTGCTGCATCTCCAGACAAGGTATTTCAAGGTACTACAGCAATATTAGACAGTCAGTGCATGTGCAATATTCTCAAGGAAGTTTATGTAAAAGCTCTTGTGCCCTCCAAGAGTTTCAGATCTAAACGTAGGTTTTGATGCTTGAGAAAGTGAAGAGCATCTCACAGTTTTACTTACTTACCACCAGTTTTGGCAATTCTTGCACTTCTTGGACAGAAGGAAGGCAGCCACCACCCCACAGTTACAGTATTTGCTCTGGAAGGAAGCTAAGGATGCATCCATGACTGGCGCTGCCCAAGTTCCATACCAAGGACAAGTTGTTTGATACATTCTGAAGAATGGTACTTAAATTTTATTTTAAAAAAAAATCTTACATAGGGATAGATGAAAGAATCTATCATGAGGCAGTTGGGTACCAGCTGACTAGATTAATAAGGGAAAGCTTCCTCTCCAGGGTATCTTGAGGTGATTAGGTGTTTCTTCATCAGTGGAAGAGTTGCTCTTCATCAGATTTAGCTGTGGTTGCTACAGCAGATGATCTGTATTTCTGGATGGAGCAGCCTGGATGCCCTGGCAAGCCAGGGGAATGTTCCAAGGAGCTCAGAGCTCTGTCTTCAGCTTCTCATGCAAGTCTTCCTGGTCGATCTTGTCCGTGTTCCCATACCACTGGTGGTAAGCAAGCAGCGCTGCGTTTTTGGCTGCTATGGCACTCATCTCCATGGCACTGGCAGCGCACTCGATGCCGTTGAGGTAGTATATCCTGTCGTGGAGGATCACGGGTGGGCATTTTTCAGGGGGGCTGTAGTGGGGGTATGCCAGCCACTTCTTCTCTTTCACAGAGTCATAGGAAGAGAAAAGCAAGTTAAGCTGCTCCTTGGTGAGTGGTTCCTTTGAAAATACCTTCCAGACAGCTGATTGCAAGGGCAGCTTTTCTTCGCTGGGTCTCCCTTCAACAGGAGATACCACCCCCAGGCTGTTGATGAACAGTTTGGGGTTCTCTGTAGTGAAGATATCACTCAAATGAAAGGCAGAGGGGTCGTGGTAGCCAAAGAAGGAAGCATTTAAGCGCCCATGCACAAATGTCGCTATAGTCTGGTGGTAAGGATGTGGAAACTCTGGAATAGGAGGGTTGAAGTTCCTAAAGGTGATGTTGGACATTTTGTGGTTTAGTGGGGTTGCAATGACAACAATATCATACATTTCTGCTGACTGTCCCGATGTAGAGTTGTAAGTGACGTAGTACAGATTCCGTGTGCCCCCTAGGGAGAAAAAAGCAAGAGAACTCTGGGATAGGAGGGTTGAAGTTCCTAAAGGTGATGTTGGACATTTTGTGGTTTAGTGGGGTTGCAATGACAACAATATCATACATTTCTGCTGACTGTCCCGATGTAGAGTTGTAAGTGACGTAGTACAGATTCCGTGTGCCCCCTAGGGAGAAAAAACAAGAGGGGAGAGAGCTCAGACCAGTCTTCTGCTGCACGAATTCCTGTTCATCCTAACACTGTTTTTTTTCTTGTTGTTTGTTTCTTTGTTTCTTTGTTTCTAATTCCATTCCATTCAGGCTACTTGAAAATGCTTGAGCTCACAAGAACGTACAAATAATACAAGTTTAGCTGACTAAGCATCTAAGACCTTGAATGGAGCCCAGCTTTCAATTTAAGAGACTAAATAAAACAACCCTGGGCTAGGGATGGACTCAGGGAGCTGTCACTGCTTTGCTCTAGCTCCCAAATGACTAAAGTATCCCAAGAGCTGACCACTCTCCCCCACCCCATCAGAAAGTGAAGACAACTCACCTGCAGGATCAGGTCTTTGTTTTGGCTCTATGGACAGAACTGTGCCAGAAATAAGCTGTGCTTTGGCAGCATAGATAAGGCCATTGCAGACAAGTTTATTTCCTCCCTTGACACCCCAGACGCCAGGTGCCACCCCTGTCAGCGAAATAAAACCTACGAGGAAAGCAAGACCATTAAACGTGCTTGTGCAGTGCCATTCTGTA